CCCCCCCCCCCCCCCCCCCCCCGTAGGGGAGTTTGTTTGATAGTTTCTATTACCCCCACTTGCAGAAGTCTGGTTCTACCTTACTTATTGGGATTGATCATCTCTAAGGTCGAACAAGCATATGCCGTGAAAAGGTCTTGAACTCTTTGTTCACAGTGCTTGGCTTTCGCACACAGCTAAGCCCATTCTGAAGACCTTATCTTTCTTGAACATGTCACGAATATCCAACATATGCCTAGAAAACAAACATCTTTGCATTTCATCTCCGGGTAAACAAAGTCCTCTCTCGATTCTAAAGATTGAAGGGAGAAAGGATAGCTCTCTCTTTCCCTACGTCAAACCAATAAGAATATTTATAGGTTTATTGACTATTGGCAATTTCAGAAAGCTCTCTCTACCTTGACCGTTTGTGTTAAGAGGAACTCATTATTTTGTAAGACTTGATTTCTCTCTTGGTGTGACTTATGCAAAGCTACCCCTTTTAATAGTCCAGACTACAATGAACTCCTAAAGACTAGAATCAACTCCTAAGTGAGTTCAAAAGAATTTAGTACTCCTGACTCATAACTTAATTTCCTTTTGAATCAAGCTCTATTACAAAGATCTTATCTACGTACAGAAACAAAGAGCCCATCAGGAAGAAAAAGCCATTAAAATACCAAGCTATATAATTAATCAATGTCTATGGTTAAGGTAAACTCAGGAAAGTAAGAAGCCATGAATCTGGAATAGAAAGAATACAATTATACTCACTTAAAACAACAACCGGCCATCCCTGATCAATTAGTTGTTTTATATCATCCTTCCTCTCACTTGAGATGACATACAAGATGGAGTTACGAATGTCCCCCCAAGATAGCATGATTTCATTAATATCATCTTCTGTTAAAAATGCATTCAAGGAGAAGCAATCTATTGAGTGAGACTCTGCTTTCTCTTTGATAATATCCTATACAAGATGATATTTATGTTAAAAACTATGTAATATTTTACATCATAATACTAATACCAAAATATATTGGAAAGTCTGGAAATTCAACTAGCAGCAATAAACATGGATGTTTTTTTTTCAAACAGAGAAGCTTATTTAAAATGTTATCTGAATATTGCAATAATTCTTTATATGTAGAGCTATGCCAATCTATCACATCAATGCCTTCTTGTGATATAAATTCATAGTATGCTTAGGGATGAGGGTATCCAAACAAAGTAAAATAGAATCCACCTTACAATCTGAAGAGTCCAGCCTGGAAGAAATTCCCTGCCAAAATGAAAACCAGAAGCCAGGTCAAATATTAAAATGACATGACATAAACAACAGAGAGTTTTATACAATTACTCTAACCTATGATGTAGGAGTATTTTGCTCTTTTAAAAGGGATGTCCAGAATAGTTCTCAGTCAATTTTTTCCTAGCTGACTGGATTTTGCCCTCATGTCGATTTCTGCCTTTTACTAACTACTATTTTTGCCTGGATAAGGGGTGTTCGTATTTGGAGTCCTAGTCCGACGGATGGCTCAATGGCTAAGTTATTTTCTTTTTTACTTATTAGAAATTGATGTTTGTGCCATTTATTTAAAGGTTAGTGGTATAGTTAGTTAGTTAGAGGTTCATTATTTGTTTTCCTATAAACACATTTAATCTCACTTCAAAGCATAGAACAGAATTTAAGCACTTCTTTGGTGCATTCTCTCTTGTTTGCACTCTTTGTTCTCTTTTTTTTCTTTTTTAGTTACAAGTTTATATCAATAAGACAAATGACCAATTAGTGGCACGTTGAATTGGAGGGATAAAGGGGCAACACAAGATCAACTGAATATTATGCCCATTCGGAATTTGTAAGCAGCTGTAAATATTGCCAACACTTGGGCACAACAACACTTCAAGAGCGCAGTAAAAGCAACTCAAAAAAATAGGGCAGTTGTATGAAATATTCTCAAAAAAAAAAAAAAGAAAAAAAGAAAAAAAGGAAGGCAGTTGCAGAGCGGGCCACACAAAATCGGCTTCAACCAAAACCACTCCCAAAAGTAATATAAGTATTCGACCTGCCTAGAAACAACCCTTGACGGAGCAGGACAATTTGTACGCTTGACCCATGTTTGAAAATGTTACAGGCATAACTAAACCAGACAAATGAGTGTCCCTGGCATAGACAAAATGAAGATTATTGGAGAAATAATAGAATTTGAAATCGAGAGTGAACCAAATGGACAAAGTGAAGTAGTTTATAGTGATGAGAATGAGTGGGTAACTTGAACTGTAACGGCCCAGGCCCACTGCTAGCAGATATTGTCCTCTTTGGGCTTTCCCTTTCGGGCTTCCCCTCAAGACTTTAAAACGTGTCTACTAGGGGAAGGTTTCCACACCCTTTATAAGGGTGTTTTGTTCTCCCCCAACCAATGTGGGACATCACATGAACAGTGTTAGCTCGAGTAAGAGGCATGCCAGTTCCAGAACCTAATGCACCATAACTCAAAAGATTGGCATTGTTATAATTGATAGCAGAAGCAGTGATAGCATGGTGTCAATCCTAAGTGAGGGCCCAAGTCACTAACACTAAAATACATCCCCAACCCTGTAAAATTGGTTGGAATAAGAAAATGATGGAGGCTAGAGTTTGGGAAAATCTTATCCCGATACCGCAAACAGTTAATCATCACTCACAAGAGTATGAACCACATTACCCAGAGAAAGCTGACTACAGTTCGTTGATCAAGGACTAAGTCACCATCACTCAAGCCATCAACCTAGCTCAGTTCACAAGTTCAATCCCCCTAAGCTCGTCACCCGTTGAGAAACAAACAGAATTGTGAGCCTCCAAAGGGTGTGCCGAGCGATTTTATTATGCGAGTCACCTAGCATCAATGCTGCAGCTATACAGATACTCGAATCCAAGAGCATCCCACAAGAATCGCCAGCATGCTCCTCAATTCTATCGACGAGCTGGTGGAAGATCACGGACTTGATCAGATAACAACTGCTGATGTAATCAACTCAAGGTAAAATTTTCTTAAAGGGAGGCCAATGACGCGGGAGTTCTACGGTCATTTGATGGGGCTGTACAAGGCAATTCTTCCTCTATCGTTTCTTTTTGTCTCCTCTCTGCAGGCAAGCTGGCAATACCAATCTATCACCTTACACTCTAAATTGAATAATAATTGAACACTATTATTTACGCCCTCTCGATTTCATATACCAATAATTTATTTGTTCCATCTTGTGAACTAAATAAGCATAGTATCTGGAGAGTGTTACAAAATGCTGAATTGGTTAACATCAATTCTATTTCAAATTTATTTTCTCTCTTTAGCATCCTCAATTTCATGAGTCCCTTTCTTCTTTGGGATCCACAATTTCTTTAGCATCCTCAATTTTAGAATAAAACAAATGGGAGGCATGCATTGATGAACATTAACATGCATAAATCACAACAAGAAAATTAAAGAACATCGATCCAACTTTTATACTCAAAATTCATAAAATAACCAGCATAATTCCAGATAGTGAGTTGAGATTGTTGTAAAAAAAAAAAAAAACAAAAAAAAAATGTACGAGGGAAGGAGACAGGTACCGTTCGAAACATGGAATACTGGAGGTGGCGCATGAGAGCATC